CACTGACCTGGCTGCCTGCAGAGCTGTTCCTCTTACACACTCTCACTCTGCTCTTCTCTGGCTGCAATTACATCTACCCAATAACTCTTTTTTCTTCTTAAACATGTTACCAAAAGGAATTACCATAATTTCTGATTGTCCCAGCCTTGGCCAGCAGCATGTCTGTCTTGAAGGTGTCTGACACTGGCTCTAGCAGACATGGAGGATGCTTCCAGCATATTCCGACAGAAGCCAGTAGCTCCCCCACTACCAAAACCTGGACACGCAAATCTAGGAAAAACGCACATGTTAATGTATTTAGATACCAGTTAGGTACAGAAGATACCCTGCTTTAAAGATGAAAGGGAAAACAAAGCAAAACAGAATCTATGCAAGCAAAAGTTGGTTAGGAAACAGTCACTTGATGGAGTCCTGGCACACTGATGGACTCCCAAAGCATTTGTATTGCAATCACTAGGACTTTTGACAGCAGAGCCACTAACAAACTCAAGACAAGCTGAGTCTTCAGTGCTTGAAGGTTCTCCTTCAGCCTCAGACTGCAGTTTTATTAATTTTATTCATTTTGTTAGCAGATTTTGAGTAGAAATTCAGACTTACTGACCCTTCTCCTCACTGTGTAGTACCTGTATACCTAAATGTTTACTAAGCAAAAAAGTCATAGGGTGACAGTAAATTTGTTGTTCCCTGTAATACCATTTATACCAAGCCATTTCCCATCAGTGGACTGCATTTCAAAAATTTATTTTGAAGTTCTACAAACCAATTGCTTGTGCTTACTTGCCTGCCTGCTTTTTCCAGCTACTAAATTGTTGGCTGCACACTAGGTTTTATCCTCTAATAAGAGAAAGGCACATGTTCCTTAAAAGGAAATCCCATGCTGCTGCTCTGTTGTGACTCAACTAACTTGGCAAGAAAGGAATTTACTCCATTTCTGTATCAGATCTACACCAACCTGTGCTGAGCCACACGGATGACAGTGTTCAAAGGATTGCAACATTTAATAGAGCCACAAGTGGTATGGAGATCAGTGCAGACCTTACTACTCACATGAGGCAATTAGCTTCACTAAACAGTAAATAAGGAAATTATTTAATCTTTATTTGCAGAAAACCTATCAGACACTATTGAAATCCACAAAACTGGAACAATTAAATTTGAAAGGTGCAGATGGAAATCTCATGCACTACATGTGGGTGACTTTTGCATATGCTACCAATGTTGATTAAGAACAGCAGCAATACTGCTATGCAATCCTTTTAAATCCAAGATTTAATGCCACTGGACATCTGACATACCCATCTCTCATACAATCTGTCAGGCAGAGAACTATTCCTGATCACTGTGGCCTACAAAGCAGGCTTCTCTGTCTTCTCCTTGTATAGTTTGGAGGGAATCTCAGAGAGCTCTTGGAAAATGAAAGCTTATCCAACTCCTGGAAACTTCTGGGAAAGGAAACAGGGAGGTTTTGGACACACAGGGAGCATTACCTGTTTCCATTCCTCTAGTTTATAGAAGTCACTGTCCTGCATTAGTCACTGTAGTCTCTGAGTGCTTTTTACTTGCTCAGCAACTGAACTCATGCTTGCTCTTGTAGGGCTTTTCTATGTTTGTTTGGGTTTTTCAAAAATGTTTCCTATGGGATTGTTGTGTGATGCGGCATTTTGTACCTGATCAAGAACACATTGGGCTGTTGGAGAAGGAGCTGACAAAGAAGTGTGTCTTCCAGTGAGGTACAATTTAGTGCCTGGAGAAGTGCCTTTTGCATTCTTAGGTATATGCTCCAAAAGCTGTCTTTGCAGAAATGCATTACAGAAGGTATTCTATACTTTCTACTGTCTCTCAGAGGAACAGTATCAAAACGGATGTCTGGAAGGCGACAACCTTGCGCTTCCTGTTGGGGCCCTCAAAGCCAAGACATCGCTTCTTTTCCTAAATTAGATTTTCCCAAAGGGGATTGAATTAGAAGTGTGTCCTTTTGCAAGCTGAGTCATACACAAACCTGTATTTACAGGTGCTTTTTCTTCCATTCTCCTCCAGGAAGGAGGTAATCACTGATACAACTTCAGGAAAAAGGTTTCAGAGAATGACTATAAAAAATGAAAACATTTCTTTTAAGACTGTTCTTTGCACCATATATTTAAAGGGAAAGCATGGCTTTTTAACCAAAATATATTTTTGTCCAAGGCAGAGCCTACTACACAAAGAAAATGAGAAAAAACATGATGACATATGTACTTACTAAACAGTATGAATTTCACATCCTACTACAAAAGTAGAAAGAAAAGTGAAATACATGCAGGGATTTGACTAAAATAAGTAACTTCCTTAGTGTTGTAATTTGCAAAGGTTTTGCAAATAACTCCCTACCTTTGAACAGAGAATATGCTTTGATTTTAATTTCAGATGAAAATGATAAATCAAAGGACAACTATGAGAATTTTTGAAGGAATTACTACAGAACTATTTCTGTAATTTTCAGCTTTTTGAACATGAAAATGAAACAAAGTCTGTATCCTGCCCAGCACACTAATCTCAGAATTTGGAACACAGAAGTAATCAAGTAAGTAAAATTAAGCCTTTTGCACAGATGGCAAGTTCATAACTTGCTTTGAAAAGCAAACTAAATTTGAAGCTGCTACACCACCTGTAGAAATAATGTTTTTTTGTATAATTAGTGGTATTTTTGTCCGTTATTTGGGCATATGTTTACTAAGTTTATTGTTTAGAACCCATGTGTTTGGATTCTGCGGCTATGCCTGTGTTACTACGCCCTACACACAAGGGTATTCACAGAGTGTGAAGACACAAAATGAAATGTGTGAACAGTGTGGAGGTAAAACGGTACTTCAGCTCCCTGCCACAGACTGACACTGGTGTCCAAGCATACTAACATGCAAATGTATGGACACTGTATGATCATGTAGAAAGGGAAGGGTGTGCTTAAATGGCAGTTAGATGCAAACCTGAGATGTTCACAGTTTTTGAGTGCAGACGCCTTTTAAAGGATTTGTTGAAAATTGATATAGTAGCAAGAACTCTGATGAAAATTAATGAATGGTGCTGAATAGACCAGAGAAAAAGGATACTTCATAGGACAATTGTGTTTCTTGCTATGTTATACTAAAACATGTTTAATTATAATAGAAGACAAACAAAAGTACCAGGTATCACTAGATAAGCTATAAAGTTTGGAGTCCTAACACAGATTGGACTTTCAAAATCTAAGCAAGTGATGGTGTGCTTTATCACTCCAGAAGCTGAGAAATTTTGCAGGTCCAACTACACCTGACCCTGACAAACTACTGAAACTTAACAATATAAGGATTTGTCATCTATTTAAGTCAAATTTTTTGCATTTGCAGGGGTCTGTCCACAGAAATCTTGATGGGCAAAGTTTTATGTCATGCAGTGAGCAGAACCAATGTAGTACACTACTCTCCTTATCTTTTGAGCGGTCTGGATGTCAGTAGCATATTAGGTAATTATGTTTAGGAGGCATCAGAATATTTTTATTTTGGGGTTTCTTTATTTTCTCTGCTTCAAAGAAGTTTCCAGTGTCGCTGCAGCATGTTTGTGTGAGTTTTCCACACTGCAAACTAAGGAGAGACGTTAAACATGAAAAGCAAATTATTAGAGAATGTAATACCACAGAAACTTTATTTGAGATGAAGGACTAGATATTATTGAAGACAACATGCTGTAATTGACTTTATTTCAAAATCACCAGGTATTCTTTACACGGCACATTCAATAAAAACAAAGCAACGTAACCACTGATATAATTTCCAGTTCTGAAATGGCCTAGATTTTGCCCTTAAAGGACATGAGACCTCTGGGATGATGTTATAGCACATGGGCATACTCTTCTGTACAGAGTAAATGAACATCCATCACATCATAGAAATGACATGACAAAGTGAGATTGTCCTTAAAGAATTACATTTTAACAGTGCCAAATTGCTAGTTGACCCATAACAGCCTGCTTTGAAAACAAGAATGTCACGAGCGTGAGTCTATTAGCATGCGTCTGAGACTCATCAACCATCAAACTTTTATATGGTTTTTTAGTTCTTCCCTGTCCCAGCTTGTGTTTATCCCTTGTCTAACAGACAACCCAGTTCCTGAGCCTTCAGGTGAAGCATGTTTACTTGGCAAGGACAAGAAAACAAGGAACAAACTCATCGGACAGGAAGTGACAGAAAAGTGTGCATTTCAGAAGTCAGAACTGTGCAATAAATCCCAAGAGGTGGGACAGAACTAGCGCATACACAGACACACAGACACACAGACACACTCTTTGCTTAAAAAACAACTGTACATTTTTTTCTTTGGCCCAGCTAACACACTCACTACTGTGTAGCCAGACCGCAGCAAGGACGCACTGCTTGTTTGCCATGGCTGAACAAGGCCAGATCTGTCCCTCCCGGTGCTGGTCCCAAGCCCTCCAGCTTTCACCCGGGCGGGCTCCCAAACACGGAGACCTGTGGGAGACAGGAGAAGCCCTCGCTGCCCACACCGACTGTCGAGCAGGCAGCGGGGGCAAACAGCAGCGCTCGCCTGCTCGGCAGCGGTTCCGCTTCCCGCACCGACAAAACCCTGGTGCCCTCTCTAGTGCCGACGGAACCTGACAGAGCTCCAGATGAGTTTCGATCTCAAGCACATACGCGGCTCGTGGGGATGGTACTGTGTGTAGGGCCAAGAGCTGGACGCGATGACCCACGTGTGTCCCTTGCCCTTTCCAACTCAGAGCGTGCTGCGATTCTGCGATGAGGGGGCTGCCGCCTGCACGGCAGAGCTGCGCGCCGCCCGCCCTGCGGCCGCACGGCGTCCCCGCGGGCCGAGGGACACGGCGAGCCCCGCCGGAGCGGCCGCGCCTCGCCGGGGCAGAGCGGCGGGACCCGCCCCGCCCGCAGCCGCGCGATGACGTGAGCGGCGGGAGCGCCGCCCAGCCGGAGGCAGCGGCCAGAGCGCGGGTCGGCGCGGAGCTGCCGCCGCGTCCCCCGGCCGGCGCCGCCGTGCATGGGCAGGGAGCGGGCGGGACGCTGCCTGCGCGCCGCGCTGCACAGCCACGGCCGCGGTGAGTGGGGCCGGCAGCGCCCGCCCGCCTGCGGGGCCCAGCGGGTGGCCGGCGTGGCGGCTGCACCGCCGTGTCCCGAGCCCCGTCCCGCCGGCGGGGGCTCAGCCCCGGCGGGCGGGGGCGGGCGGGCGCTCGGGGGGCGGGAGACCCTGCCCGCCGGGCGCTGTGAGCGGGGCACCGCGCTGGCTTCCTCCCCCTCCGTAAACAGGGCTCCCGCGGGGCGGGCCGGGGCCGACCTGGGCGGCGGGGAAGCTGGAAGGGTGGCTGCCGCGCCTCCTCGGCGGAGGTGCCGTGTGTTGCGGGAGAACTTCCTCGCGAATACTTATTTGTGCCGTTAAAAAAAAAATCTCTTCGCAGAAGGAGGGCAAACAGTCACGAAAAACCACACTTGTGGTTTTTCTCTGTAAGTGTCTATTGAATTTGCTTCTGCGTGGGGAAGTGTTCCGTTAGGTGTGGGTTGTGAATTAATTGATTTGATTAATTTGCAGAAGATAATTTTTCTTTTAAGAAAAGAATTTCAGATAAAGCTTCCTCAGATTTTTTTCCTTTTCTTTTTCTCTCTTTTTCTTTTTTTTTTTTTTTTTTTTTTTTTGACTGAAGTCTAATTAGAACCTGATTGTGGCATTGTCTTCAAATTTTTCACTTCTGCAGTCAGTGACAGGTGAGAAAATAACACCTTCCTTTGGTTATTCATAAATTGTTTTATGCTGGGAATTGCTGACTGTATTCCTTCTGGTTGCTGTGCAGTAGAAAACTTAATTGGGAAGATTGTAATGGCTATTGACAATTTTGAGTGTAATTTTGTACTTGAGATTATTTGCTTTGTGATCATTGTTTCTGACATTTTAGCTCTGTAAAGCTTACCAATTTATTATCTCTTAATTTTTTCTGTTACTAATTAAATGTAACATGTATGTAAGTAGGTGAGAGATAAGTATTTCTTAAGTTTCTATTTTATGGAAAATCAGCATTGACAGATGACTATAGAGAGACTCTGTGCACACTTAAAGGTATTTTGGATCAGTTTTATGGATTAACTTTCTTTTCCTTCCCTGCATCTCAGTCTTCATAACTGATATGGTGCTAATACTGTAGTGATGTTCTTTGGGCATGCCCATTTTTCTTCCCTTTTTAGAGTTTGTGGCAGTAATTTAAGGATTCAGTAGGAATACAGTAGCCACTATTGTGTTCTGCTTGATGAGAATACATCCTGAGTGACTTACATGGTGTAAGTCTAGACTCTTGAACTAAAAAACTTCGGTATTATTGTTTGAGATAGCAGGTATTTTAAGCTGTGGTGGACGTTCCAGAGAAGCCTAAATTTGACCTATTTGCAGATTTTCATTTTTTGTAAGCACCAATGACAGCAACATGGGGAAGGAGTATTTGCTGCCGGGAGGGGAAGTTGTAATGAGTAAGAAGTACATGGAATGCAGAAAATGGTCCAACATCCTTGTTGGTTGAATCAGACTGACTAGAACTGCAGAATGGAAAATGAAAGGAGGTTGCTACTGCTTTTTACTTGTAGCTGTTCAAAATTATGATTAGGCCAATAAAAAATTGAAATCTCTGTAGAATAACCATTTCCAAACTATGTGGAGGTAGTGTTATGCATGACCACAGAACAGTACTAAAGTGAGTGTTACTGTCATGTTGTACCAGCAGTGGCATCATCTTTCTGAAGTTAGGAGAAAAGCAATTGCTGAATGAGGTTGTTGCTTTGCCATTGGTCTCTCTTTATTTCAGCTTTGGGACATTTTTACAGTATGACCTTATGTAAACAAAAGCTAAGTGACGATGTTTGCAGTTGCAAGAAATAACCTGAGATCTCATCTGAAAGAGCCTTAAAAGGGAAATAAACACAATTCAAAAATGTAGTAGTATTAAACAGAGACAGTAATTAAATGGTGTTCATTATGAATAGAAGAATATCAAAAGTTACAAACTTGCAATTAAAAAGCAGTTAACAGAATTGACCATGCAATAATAAAATAAGTATTTGTTCTAAAAAATGTTATTCTAAAAATAAAAAAACAACTGGAAAAAGGCAACCAAAATCTGGTGGCTTTTTTTAGAAAAGTAACTGGAACTTTAAGTGGGGGGTTGAACTAGATGACCTCCTGCAGTGCCTTTCAACCCAAATTATCCTGTCCTAGTGCTCCTGTTCTGTTACAGGCTGGCATTTTTCTTGTAACACACCTGCTACTTTTTACCTAGGCTTGCATGCAAATGTTATCCCTGTCATTAGGCAAGTACACAGTTATATTTTTTCATTTGACTTAATAGAGATGCTGTTTCAAAACCTCCGACCCTGGCTGTGCACTGATTCTGGTGGATTCTCTATGTATTCATGTGTCCCATGGGGTTCTCAGCAAGAGGCCAGTAAGATGACTAATATGAGTAATACTAACATGATCTGACTCAACATTTGAGCTCATGCTTACGTTTGTATTTCTTTAACTTGTTTCAGTTACAATTTCTTTATCAAAAGGTGAACGAAGAGCTTTCTTGAATTTCTGAATATGGCATTTTAAAATTATTCTGTGAGATAGATCAGTCTTCATGCAGATGTGAAAAACTGTACAAAAATGTGAATATACAAAGAAACTTCTTTGTTGTAGTTCTGCTGAAGGAACGGTGATCCAGTTTTATTTGCTGCATACAAATAGATGCTTTCTGCTGCATACTGTGCTCATCTAGGGAGTAGATCGTATGTCTCACTTGAATTGGTTGTGCGCGACAGTACAGTGACAGCGACAAGGTACAAGTGTAAGGTAGGTTGTCACTGTCAGTTGCAACCTGTAAGATGCTCAGAGGAAAAGGGTGATCCCTCACTCAAATGTCAAGCTCTGTGGGTTATGCAATACTGGATGCAGAGAGGTCTGGTTCACGTGGACAATGATGACCCCCATGTGTTATGTAGAATGACTTGCCTAGAAGGCAGTTGTCCATCTAATTTTGGTTATGTAGTTACTGTTTCGCACAGTCAAAGCTGAATCTTTAAATCTGATTTGTAGGAAAAAACCTGTCTAGTCTGGTGCAGGCACCTATTGATTTAAAATCAATGGAAACATTGTCCCTTTCTGAGGCGAGTTTTCTCTGCATCTGTCTTTGACAATGACTTCCACAGCAGCATTACGTGGTTCCTTTTGTTGTTAGTAGTTTGCTTTTTAATCATGGTTGCATATTTCCTTGTATTAGGAAGGGAAGCGTACTCTTGCTGCTTAAATTTTCTGTCTTCTTGGTTTTCTTCTGGTTTTGTGTGGTGCTTTTTTTGCAGGGGTGGGGGAAGAGGGGTAAATGTGTGCATTTTCTTTTTTCTTAGAGTCTTTAGTATTTGTTCACAGCTCATACAAATCTATGAACTAATTCTGTTTTTCTGTGTTTTTTACAATGCCACAAAAGACAATATTCCAGGTGATTTGAGAATGTTTTCAATACCTTTCCTCTCTTCATCAGAGCACTTTTTCTTGTCTCTTGTGTGCCTGTATTAAGCAGAGATTCTGCTGAGCTGCACATCCTGTGAGTGGTTGTTTTGTTTATCTGCTTACATTTGGCTTAAAATGTAATGTCACGTGCGAATAACTGCAAGTTTTTTTTTCAGGGGTATATTATTTTATGTTTGTTGACATCAGATATTATCTGTCTTTTGTTTTTTTTTTTTTTGCTTGGCTAGCTCTCAGTTTTGATCCTGCTCAAGTCTCATGTAAGCCGGTTATCACCAAAGTTGTTTTTAGGCTAGGACTTTGAAAGTGCTTATATGCTTGCATAAATGTGTATGGTGTGGTATTTCTTGCTCTGCATGCAGCCCCACATGGGATCTTTTCTGATGCTTACCCCAGTTCTTAATCTATGTGTTGTTCATGGTATAAGGTTTTTTATCAACAGTTCAGTGAAGCTGATTTAGCTGGTATTACCTTTATCATTCTGCTTATGTGCTTGAGCAGCTGCAGTATATTTCAGGACTTAAGAAAGTCTTTTACAGATGTTTTAATTAAATAGATTTATTATACATGTTCAAAGTGTTGTGATTAAAGTTATTAGCATGTACAATTAAAACTTTAAAAATGCTTCTTTATGTGAATTCACTGGTCTCAAGGATTCATTTTTTGTAGTATTTAGTGAGAGTAACTATCAAATCAGTTTTAATCAGTTTTTTAGACCTTTTTTTGCACAGTCTATATCATCCTGTTTACCAGAAACTGTGCAAGAATTTTGAGAGTTTTTTTTGGTGAGCGGATAATATGTTAGAGGAATAGTGTTAGCGTACAGGTCTGGTATGCTTTAAATGAGTATTTTCCATCTCTGATGTCTGTTAGTCTTGTTTGACTGCAAGGATTTCATAGTTGTGACAAAAATGTTCATCACTATTCATTATTTCATAATACTGGCTATGGTTTGGGTTTCTAGTACTGTCAGATATTTCTAAAGTAAGAAACCTTTGCCTTCTAAATATGCAGTGTTGATACATAAACATACAGTTCATTTGGTACCTGTACTTATCAAACAGTTTTTAGAGGCCTCAGTTATTCAAGTGCATTTAGATTGGGAGGCCTTTTAATTTCAACATGAAATTATGGGATTGCTTGCATGGATTCAGATATGGAGGTATGAGTTGCAGGTGATGTTTGGGTTATGTATTAGGTAAAATTTGACTGGGAGACTAATGCAAGACCATTTGAGGACAAAGACAGTTGGAAAACAAACATTAATTCCTAATGAAAGAGAGGTTTATAAACTATAGAGAGAGAATTACAAACCATGAAGTCACAAAGATCTAAGAATAAGGTGGAGTTGTAGTTTTATCATATGTGTTAACTGTTCTCCTAAGCTGTCTTTGTTCTCAAGACTTTTCTTTCCTTAGCCTCTCACAAACACTGGAATCTGCTGTTTCCTCGGTTGTGTAAACACAACAACTTTTTATAGGCCTGTGCTGTAAACTGTATCACAAGTGACCTAAGTTAAAATTAATTTTTTTTTGTCTCATTTGGAACAAGTGGCATGAGGGAAAGGGAGCGGACAGGAAAACTTCTTAAGCTGGCTTGCAGTGTGAGAGAAAACGTTGTGTAATCGCATCCTGGATAACCCCAAAGATGGACTGAGCTACAAAAGAAATGTTGGGTTCCCGGTGGAATTGGAGGGCACTGGATTGCACAAGACCCAGATCCTCAGCTGTGGGCAGTAAAGCTTGTGTCAATCCAACAGCTGGCTCCCAAAAGACAGACTTTGGAACTACTCTAACAACTGTGTAAATAGGTGCACGGTTATCTTTTAATTGCCGCATACCTGGGTTTTCATAAACCTTTGTAACTGTGCTCTCTGTCAGGGAGCTTGTGAAAATGTACTTCTGGCTGCTTTTCTCCTAACCTGGTTTCTTCAGTTAAAGGTGATTTCAAGGTAACATTAGGGCATTCTATTCCTATGTATCTTCTCTTCCCTAAAATTGGAGACTAGCCCACTAAAACCATGTTTTGGACATTGCGAGGAAGATGGACATATACTGAATTTCAGTGAGTATTTCATAAGCCTGCTTGCAGAAGCTGGGGATAAGCATGTTAGATTTAAGTGTGTGATAGCAAGAGTGCAAAACTTAGTGAAACTTACAGGTGCTTTGCAAAGTGGGTGTGAAAATGAACTGGAGTCTTCAGTTTTCATTGTTAT